CACAACCCCCCACGCACACTCACTCACTCACTCACACACTTTTTTAAAGTTTAAAAAAGGTTTTAAGATTCAAATTCAATTTAAAATTAGAAGTTAAGAAAGTTGAAAATTGTTAAAAAAAAATGTTTGTTTTGTCGATGTTTGGAAATGTAAAAATGAAACACATTAAGTATAAGTTAAAAATGTTAAATATGCATTTATAGCTATGGAAGAGCGGTGCCTCCTGACACAGGGTTGATAAGCTTAATAGGAGGTACCATCCACTGTTAATGTAAAGTTAATTGTATTACTGAAATAAACATTTTATTATTTATTATTTAAAATAAAAACTATTTAGAAAAGGTTCTTTTTTTATTTTTATAGTGGGCACTTAAGAAACAAAGGGCATTTAATATAAACAGTTTCAGATAGAGAGGACCCCATTTTAGTAATGTCGTTCTTTAATGTCCACAGATTATACTAAGCTCAACTCTAATGTTGTCATGTCCATGTAACCAGAAGAAAAAATGACTGTTGGTTTAATAATTTTTTAATACTGTTTAATTAAGGACTTAAGTTTGAAAAGTCTCGATTCTTAATTCATTTATTCATTGTTTCATGTGGATTAACAGAGGTGTTACATAATAGTATTTCAGCACATGATCCCTGTAAGGGCACTACAATGATAATTACTAATTATGAATCTCTTATACAAGTTGTGTCGTTAATTATTACAATTATGTAATATATCAAAATCAATATAAAAATTTAGATCACAATAATTAATATTAAAAAGCATAAGTATGGTGATACAATTTCTTTCATTCAATTAATTCATTTATGGTCAAAATTCGACAAAATAATGCTTGAAGAAAATAAATTATTAACACAAAAAAAATCGTAACAAATGTTCCTAAATTAGGATAATATTATTATGTCAAAAACGTGATACAACTTTAACTTTTGTATCTATGGCTCCGTCGTTTAAAAATTATGGTATGTCAAAACCAGTTGATAGTAACCAATGATAGTAAATGTCAATAATTAAGTATAAAAACATAAAACCTATACATGTCATGAAAGAATGTTTAAAGAGAATTATTATTAATATTCATGCAGTAATTGTCTTGTCAGTTATCATTCAAATATTCACCAATTGTATATATAAGTTTTTTGTATTAGCAGGTCTTTTAGTTTATTTATAAACGATGACGTATTTTGTTCTGAATTGATGTTTCTGATGAATATGTTGTTATGGCCGTTTTTTTGTTTGTGGTCTATTTAAGTTCCCTGAGATTTTCCCATAATACAGGGGATCCTAGTTTGGAAATTAGGCACAACTATGTACGTTTCTGTGTTTTTTGCAATAAAGTTATAATCGCGGAAACACAAAAGTGTGATACCATCCCGCGCTCGCATCACAGTCGATAGAGATGGCAACAATAACGTCAAGTACCTCCCTGTCTTGATTGACTGATTATAATTTATTATTATATTGAATATTTTCTTCCATTACTGCTTCCGTGGCCGAACGGTTACCATGCCGGATTGCCACGCAGAGATCCCAGGTTCGATTCCCGGGCCTACATTTGTTTCTCTCGTGAGTTTGGGTATAATTTGTGGTTGGCTATGTGTGTGTCCATGGCACCCACGACACAGGGTTTCCCTGGCTATGTTGAGTGTGTGCGTTATTATTATTATTAGCACTCTTAGCTAGAGAGGATGGCGAAGATAAAATAATTGTGACAATTCGAACAAGAAACCAATTTTTCGTTATTTTTTAATAATAATAATAATAAAGGTTTACTTTCAAAGTTGTTACGTAATAAACCTATATGGCCTTGTAACACTCGACCCTGCACAAGGGACTGTAAACAAATCCCTTAATCTGTATTATATACACTTGAACGATTAGATAATATAAATGGTTAAGATTTTTATTATGCAAATTACTTAAAATATGACCCAAAATCAGTGGATTTTTATTTGATATTAATCTTATAATTTCCCAGGGAACAAACGATGTATAGTAGTTCGATTGATAACATAAATGATGAAATAAACATAACTAGTGCAGTATATAATGCCAATATAAATCTGTATGCAATTATTACGTAAACTAGTGTTCTGTGTAATTATCGGTGATCAGAATTGAGGGAGTTAATTTACCTAAAGAATGGACGTCGTCTTAATATGCATATACCCATTCAGAATATAATAAAATAGAATAGAATAGAATAGACATTTATTGCAACGCCACAACACATACATAAAAAAAAATTTGATAGCACTTAGACAAGCAAAATAAAATAAAAAGACGTAATTAACAAAATTAAAATATCAAAAAAATTATAATAAAATATAAAATAAAATAATTTAAGACAAAAGAAAAAAATTCGTTATCAATCCATATATTTTTTATTATTATTTATGTTCTAAACATTACAAACTATAGTTTGTTTCATGGTATTAGTTTAGCTAAAGCATTTCAATACGTAAGTACCTCTAGCTCATAGGTTCCCAAACTTTTTTTCTCACCGCCCACTTAGGCAAGTAAAAAAAATTTCAACGCCGACCACCACAAAAAATACTTAATTAAAAACATGTATTTTTTTATATTAACTGAACACAAAAAAAAATGTCGTGTAGTTTATATAGGTTTTTTCTTTTCAAATGCGGTAGCACCGGACATCATCAACGCCCCCAAAAGCTTCCGAGGCATCTACCGCAATTTACACAAATATCAATAACTAATACGTATATTCGAATATAATAACTTTCGAGAAGTCCCGGGATTTCTAGAAGGGAATGTCCACATTATTCTTTAGTTTATCTAAATTAACTCCCTCAATTGCGACCACTGGTAGTTATAATAGTTATAGATATTTCTGTGGTCATAATTATTTATGTAAACTTTATTGCACACAAAACAGTACAAATGGCGGACTTATTTTTTACTTATTTAGAATTATTTGACTTATTTAGAATTATTCAATTATAAATCATACCCTCCTTTCGGCTCTTGTTTTCTTCAGAACAACATTTGTTTTTACATATTTGTTTTCTTGGTATAGCTGATTCGGCGAAATTTAAATGTAATTTTTGCAAATATTAATTGCAATGTTATTTAGAAATAGTCCATATTGGCAAATGTTTAGTGGGAATAATATTTATTCAACATCAAGACATGTTTTCGGAGATGATTTGATTGTTATTTTGTTAAGTGGTATATTGGTACGTAACAGTATGTCACCATTAAAAGATGTAAATGGAATCGTTTTAAGGTTGGTCATACAAATAGCTTACCTGACCATTATCTTCTGTGTCTGCCGGCCATTCTACGTTGTACTGTCCATAGGTAGGACTGGGAGGGATAGTCGTCCAGGGCTTTACCCAGTTCTCTAAGGGATCCTTTTCTATCTGTGAACATTTTATATTGACATTGAATGTACAGTGAAGTATACAACAATTAATTAATTGTATGGCTGTAAAAGGGCTTTAGGTGATCACGCTTGTCATCCAAGTTAGCAATTGGTTTCTAATTATACAGTCAAGTTTATTTTCTACACATACAAGATAAGAAATCAAGAACTGCGAGCCAAAAACAGGCTATGTGACAAGATCGAAAACTAAATGCTGTTCATTTAAAAAATGGATGGAAATTATCTAATATGAAAAAAAAAATACAAATTTGTTCAAAAGTCAAAGAGATACAGACATTCAAAAATGTGGAATTAGAAACAAAAGGCAATACTTTTTTTTTGTATCATTGCAAACGTAATGGTGCGTATAAGATACGTTGTAATGTTTTAACAATAACAATAATGCGCTAGAGAATAGTAATTTCTAGCGCATTATTGTTATTGGAGTTCCAATCACCTGGCCTCAAACTAGAACGTACTATGAGTACCCGGCGGCATTAACTCCGAGGCACCAAGACCAGAACCAATTTAGAAAAGTTCATTTGCCAAATTGGTCATATCTGGAAGGGGACTCGGGACCTCCTCAGTCACGGAGGTTGTTGATAAAAGGCACACCGTATCCACCCAACTACTGACTATAATTATATATAGTATATATAGTAACTTATCTGGCGTTAGGTGAGATAGCGAAATATTAATTTCCGAATAATTTTCAGATGTTTATGTGAACTGATTGAAGCAATAAGTATATTTAAATCAAATACCCTAAATAGTTCGCTTGCAATAAGTCTTGTAAAGGCATCATATATATAAAATATACATTATGGTAAATAATGCTAAAGAACAAATTAATGAGATCAATTTCAAGTGACTATCTAGACAACTGATTAATGGAATATTCTTAATAGGGCTCACTGATGATGCAGTGTGCTCTCAAGTCACCTTTGGGTATGCCATTATAATGCTCAAGGTTGGTACACGGACAAGGAAAAATTGTTTGTTACGCTAATGTTCACGTTAGTTTTCACGAGTATGTGTGGTTCACATAAAAACTAAAATTACTATTCGCAATAATCACTATTTACATTTCTGCCGTGCTTACTTATTTATATGAATTTCAAACATACTTACAGTTAATACTGTAAGCACAGTATATATTTTCGGTATATATTTTATTACGTACAATAGTCTTTCTACATAGTGTTTATATGTCACAAAATCTCATCTCCTTCCTCTTTATCCTATTATATTAGTATCGTAAATATATTTGCTTTTTTTTATGAGACCAAGTAATGGGACGAACAAGTCGTGCGGCCATTGGTAAGCGACAAGCATATCCATAAAATCTGTTGTCGATTAAATCGTTTGAGGTGCACCGCCACTGCGCCCGTCACCCTGATACATAAGTTGAAAAGTTCCATGTGCCTGTAATTTTACCAAGACTCTTACCCGCCGAAACCGAAACTCAGTAATGCTCACATTATTGCTAAGCGGCAGAAATAGATAAGTTAGACATTTTGTTATTGTAAGTTAGAAATTTTGTACCCATAAATTTTACAAAAAAAAAATACAATCAAAAAGTAAACACAAAGATAATAAATACCAATTAGAACGACGTAACTTTGCCTTGGCTTCTTTTTTTTTTTCTACTTAACGCGAAACGATAAGGATATAAGGCTTAATTTAATGAAAGCGAGTTTTTGTTACCACAGCGTACTAAACTTTCTGTTATTTGTGTACCAAGACATCACCTAAGACTGTTTTATGGTCTTAGGTGACAAATATTTGTCCCCTAAATTCGATTAGGCTATTGATAATATTAATCACGAAATCATGTCTGATGAAATTTGTTCAATACAAGTTTCGAATCATGTAAGTGATTTGAGTTCAAAATCGGAAATTGATGTTGAATGGACATGTAGTAAATTAATGTAAAATAAAATCTTACAATTTTGTTTCTATTCGTTTACCATTACCAGCTGCTATCTAGCAGTCATTATCATAATATAGTATAATTAAAAAAATTGGCTAGGCATATATTTAAATTCCAATTACGAGAGTAGTTAGAGCTAGACTAAATACTGAGCATTGACAAAAAAATTCTTGCTAAAAACTCTCATAAATGGCCATCATTCTAGAAACACATCTAGAAACATTTTATTAAACACCTGTATCGATTTCGGCTAGAGTGTAGTTTGTACATTACGTAATTGACATAAATATAGGATCCTTCGTACTCTCTCGGAGCACATGGACAACGGTTTCTACAAATACTGGACCTCCGTGCATCGTAACGAAAATAAAAAGTGACTGCCCTATAAATTCTATAGGTGCTATACTATGTTTGACATATTTTTAATTTTTATAATTTTTAATTTTTAAAATTTATAATTTTTAATTTTTAAATAATTTTTATTTTTTATTTTTATTTTTAATTTTTAATTTTAATTCTAATTTATATAAATTTTAATACTATTTATATTTTTGTCGTATGACTTTTATATGGGTGTGCCGTACCTGTCAATAAAGAACTTTATTATTATTATTATTATTATTATTATAAAGTCCATTATGCTATGGACAATTTCGTTATAAAAATTTGCTCACATTCCGTTCCGCGGCAATGTACATTGCATCTTACAATATCTCTATACTACGTTAGCTTAGTAAGCAAACACTATAAAATATTGGTTTGCCAAACATTTAACAGACAAAGGAGGTATAAATGTATATGGTAATAAATATGCATATTATTATGAGTTAAGAATATTCTTTGCAATAACGTTATAACTCATATTATGCAAGTGTTGGTTAGGAATTCAGAATTTATAAGTAGCAATTTTATGAACAAAAACTAGTACATAATTATTAGTGATTGTGTAAAAATATCGTTTGGAGAAAAATAGGAATTATAATAATAAGCGCGCCCATATGAACACCTGAAATATCATTTAGTATGATTCCTTGATTTCTGGAAGAGATGGAGCATCATAGTTGCCATTTTGAGGAACATAGTTCAGAAATCATCCCATACCATGGACTATTTTAAAATTATTTACTAACCAATATGTACCTATAAATTGTATCAAATTGTTTCAGAATAAAAATAGAGACAATTGCAGACATATTATGAGTAATATTTTTATATACATTGATAGTTTGAATTCTTAAATTCAAAATTTTTTATAATGAATAATATTAATGGGCTCATGAAACAAATTGCTTGCTCTCAAACCAGGGAATTTCCTTTATTGAATGCCAGACTAACGAAATGAACTCCAGGGCATACTCAGAACACCATAATATAACCAATTAGAAAAGGTTTTCCTTTATTGGTTCTACAGAGAATCAAACCCCAGTACTTCGTCTTTTTTTTTATGATACCAACCGACGCGACGGAACGAATGAGTTCTGCGCCTGGTGATTAATGACACATTGCAGTGCCACTCAGAGGTTTAAATCGCAAACAGCTACAGTAGAGCTACCACGACAGGGCGCGACTTGCGCGAGAGTGACATATAAGCATGAGATATTGCTCTTTTCTATGTGGGGATAGCAGTATCTCGAGCTCTATGTCGCTCTGCCAGTGCCAGCCCTACAGGGCACTGTCAATGCGCCTGTCGCTGCCACTGACACAAGTTGACAAAAACCTTATCAACCATCAGTAGTGCTAACCTCTACGCCACTGAGGTCATGAAATAAAACATAATTACTATAAAATTGTATAAAAATATTATGAACAGGGGGTCTATTCTCGTTCTCTCGTTCCGTCCAAAAACGATTAGTGTGAAATAAGTAGTACTCGAGCAAAATGAAGACTGTTAAGTATGACTGTTGATTTGGTTGAGTATTACTTGTTTGACAGTAATTGTTACGGACGGATGTTGGACGGAGAACGAGAGTACAGGGCCTGTTTAGTTTACCTTTGCCAGCATGTCAGTCTCAACAACTTCAAGAGCCTTGAAAACATCTTGTGCGTCTATCTGACCAGTCAAGATTATAGTTAGGTTCTCTGGTCTGTAGAATTTCTTGTGGAATGCTCTTACCTAAAAATAGACAAGTATATTAAAATATATAGATACTTCGAACCCCGACCTTGGTGTAATAAGGTCATATCTACAAAATACCAACTTTTCATGAGCGAGGTTTATAGATTCTATAAGTAAAATTTGACAATGTCTTTCTTATGATTATATAGAAGAGTTACAAATTTTCACACAAATGCATAATTTGACATATCGCACTGCTATTACAATAGTGTTGTAACTCAAAATATGTGAAATTTTATATTATATCATTACTGAATGTAAAATTTGATTCTCTACACGTCAAAAAACCGTCATTAGAATATTGGAAGAAACAATCAAAAGATATCTACTTAACTCAAAAAGAGACACACATTATGTGAGGTAGTTCTAGCAAAATAATCCTAATTAAAAAACATAAAACTACTTTTTCAATTTTATTTTAAAAATACATTACAGAAATTGTTTGTGTCTATAATAAACTATAACATACAAATTGAATAAAATATTCCCAGAAAACAAATTTTACTTTTGCTACATTTTGTTTTCTTTGTTTCCAGACACCCACACCTATAACCTGGTCACAAACTAGAGAATTCACTGTGCTATGAGTAGTGCAACAGAATGCACTCTGGAGCTCTACCCAGACTAGAACCAATTTGGAAAATTCATTTCCCAAATTGATCTTCCCGGGTTTTTGTCATCCAGTACCTGCAGTGCAAACCGTTCGGCCACTGAGGTTTTTACAACTCAACACACTATCTGGTATCTGTAACTCTATGTCACAGCATCTATTTTGCAAGGGTGTTCTGTGGATCATCGCCCCACATATATACTACTGGAAACAGTGCCACAGATGTAAGAGATTCAGTGTACAGGTCACCTGTCGGGAATGAAACCCAGTTCTTGCTGCATAGGTCGCAAGTATTGTCCCAATCAGGCTATCACTGCTTTACACACATATTATATGCATTGTGAGGTAACAATAAAGTTGTTGATCAACTGCTAGAAGAACTGTTCAACACAAATTCCACCTGAGTCTTTGATGGATGTTATAAATAAAATTGAACATTTGGACACAACATATACATTTTAAGACTTATGATTTTTTTACTAAATGATCACTGCTTGCAGTTTTATAATATGACATCTTATTATCTCGATATTTTGGGACAGTTACATCCTCCATTATCATGGGCTCACAGTCAACTCACAACGTGTCATGTCAAATTATTTGCGAATGTATGACTGCTTCTTCTTATAATATTCTATATTTTAAAAAGGCATACTATGATTTCTAATAATTACAAATATTAAGAGACCTTCAGTTTATAAAATTTTACTCCTTTTACGTGCCTTCAAAGTGTAATGCTAAGCTTGGAGTTCAACTGTTTTTCTTATTTCATTGATTTAAAAATAAAATGGTATACCTAAAAACATACTTTGACATTATTGGTTGAAGTTCTGAGGTTCTTCATAATACCACCAGTCTCTGAAGAATAGCCGCTGTTGGGGTACATAGCTCTCAATAATTGCAACTCGCATCTAAAAAAAAAATTAAAAAGATTTTAATATAAAAATTTATGAGCAGCTAACTTGAAAAACTATAAATTGTAAATGTTTTTAGAGCTCTCTTCAATTTACCTAAGTTGTGTCAGTGCATAAATAACAAGTTTGGGTCCATGCACACTCGATAAGTTTAAATCATCAGTATGATGACGAGTGATGATGAGTGTCAATTTGGTGGTTTGAGACACCCTACTATTTTAGATAACTATCAACATTGACTTACAATTATATGGACGTCAGGTCCGCGCTAAAAAGTGTCCGCACTTGTAAGGCGCTAAAATCGTATACAGAGCGCGACACTCCGCTTTAGTCTTCATTTGTTCTACGGACAGCGCGATACTGCGATGACATAACAATTTAAATTTCGAATAGGTTGACTTGGGACATTTTTTTCGTGGTTTTTGTATTAGACCCGTCATCCATTTATTTGTAAGTCAATGACTATCAACATTTTTTTTTGCAAAATAGAAAATAATGTAGTTTATGGTTAAAGAAATACAATGTAGTTTATGGTTTTATAGAAATACAAACCTGCTGTCAGCCGAGTTTTCACGGCCCTGCATCTCACAGTACACAACACCAGCGTCCTCCCCTTCACCATCAATGTGGTGCACCTCAGTAATAAAGCCTTCCTCGCTCAACGTTGGCCGCAAGATATGGTCCAAATAGATTGGCAGTAAGGTCAACATCCCTTCTGATCCAGCTGTGTAAATTGTATAGCAAGTGTGGTCAGTATCGGTCCACGCGTTCGTGCCATGTGCCAGGCAACGATTGGCGAGTAAATCCAAAATTCCTTTGTAAGGGTATCGCTCAGAACCCAGAAAAATGAGGTGCTCCAACGTATGCGGTAGGCCATCGTCATCGTGTGCTTCCGTCGCTAAAAATCAAAGTGTCAACCATTTAAATATTGCTAAACGTAACAAAAGAAATAATAGAATGGACTCTCACCAAAACAGAAGAATCCGTTGACAAGTGGACCCCCGACATCAGCAATGATAACGGTGATACCGGTCTTTTTCGACACGTACTTATTCACCGGTATTACATTTGATGCTTTTGTGGTTGAGACCAATTTAAAAGTACTTTTTTCTGTCATATTTCACAACAACGGTGTTTGTGTTCGTAAACAAGCACAAAGGAAAAGGCTACAACAAAATTTTGATCAATTTGCTCGCTCACCGACCGGCTCGTGACAGCAAAAAAATGACAATTGACAAATGACAATAGAGTTGTGATGCGCTATGTATGTTTGCACCATGGACGTATGTTTGCACCGAGTATATTATAAGGTAGATATTGTTTAATGTTTCTACGATGCTGTAAGGTAATTTTCCGAAAAATTCGAATAGTGGAAATTTTTCCGGAAAAATTTCTGAAAAATAGTCAAAATATATTTCAAAGGCTCATATTACATCCTACGTTTAGATATATTATTTGAAATTTTGTTTAACGTGAATCATAACATAAAATTGTATAGCTAAAAGCAAGTTATAGTAAAACAAAATTTAAAATGAACGGACCACAGTGAAAAAAAATCACAGTCAAAAATCATGGCTCCATTGTTTTCGTGCAGTATCTTTAAGTTTTGGGTGGTCTCAACTGTCAAATGTGGAAAAATATCGGAAAAAACAAATATTTCTAAAACTTGCCTATTTTCTGAAAAATATCAATTTTTCAAAATTGAATTTTTTTATGATCCGACACTTCTTGTGCGTATGTAGATGTGAATACATTGAAGGCAATTATAATCACTTGTAATTGTGACAAATATATTCTTTTGTCATTCATGTGGCACTTGGGAGCAAGCATTCCAAGCTGCACAAATTGGCTTTAACTCGATAACCAGCTGGCTCACTGATAATTTACTGTCGCTAAATGTTGTTAAGACGAAGTTTTTGAAATTCAGTATTAATCAACCAAAAGTATTAGACCCGTTACAGCTCAGTTTAGTAGCCCATAACCACGCTGTAAATAGTAACCTTCATTGCGATTGTGCTAAATTACAAACAGCTACCACTGTCAGGTACCTGGGTGTGATTTTAGATGAACATCTAAATTTTGTACCCCACATTTAAAACCTAACAGGCAGAATACGTAAGCTTATATACGTTTTTAAGCGTTTGAGGCAAGTAGCTGAACGGCGTATATTAAAAATGGTGTGGTGCATTGTGTCAATCTTTACTGGTTTACTGCATAACATCATGGGGTGGTTCATCTAAAACTCACACGCTTAGGATCGAGCGCGCTCAGAGAGCAGTTTTAAAGGTATGTACATACGTTCAAACCATTTAGTTTTCCAACAAGAGCCTTATATGAATATTGTGAGGTACTCACAGTACGCCAACTCTTTCTCCAAACTATACTACGACAACTCACTGCCCCTCCTAGTATATACTTTCCTTCATTGCAATACAGTATAGACGTGTGAATGTCGTTCCCCGAAGAGTTATCTGCTGCTGCTTAATGAAGTGTTTTCACATCAAATACGCACACTTTTTCCTACACACATGCAAGTGACACACACTTTCAGTGGTACCAGCGGTCAAATACTGATTCTTTGATACTTACTTACTGTACACTGTGCATGTTGTATTATTATTATGGCAAATAAATTTATATTATTAATTTATTTATTACAATTGCCTTCAAATCTTAGAATTATGTGAAAAGCATATTAACAACAAGTTCCAAACTACGACATGAAGTTAACACAAAAAATAAAGAAGAAGTTCTCATCAAGTTTAAATGCCCGACTACGTATGCATGTACCTATAGCATGGCAAAGCCAAAGATTTGATTTAAAATTATTTACAAAGACTCAGTACTTCTTTCTTTGATAATTCAGACCTTGTCACATCATTACTGGCAATGGGCTTTTGAAGTTACAACTTGTCTTTACAAAGATTATATTTATTTTAAGTATATTATTAAGAAAAAACGAAAAAAGAAATAGCGATGAAGAAAGTTCGAACTATATTCCTTATCTTAAACTAAATTACAAAAGATTTTATCCTGAAAATAATACTAATTACGAATTCAGAGTTTTTGTTCAAAGTGATAGAAGATATTGTGATTTAAGTGAAAGTGAAAACATAAATATTGACTCCCACCGCATAAAAGACGATGTATAAAAACCGAAATAAGTGAATTAAGTTATTTAAGAGAAATTAAAAACATAACGTATTAGAACTAAAATGGAAAATTTTTCCGAGTATCCCGATAATTAAATACGATTTAAGAAATATATATTTATATAATTTAATGACGACATTGCTCAAAGTACTAGATTCCAAGCTAAAACTCTTAATAAAAGAAAATTGCAAGTGACATTTCTTTTTTTTAATTTATTGCTGGCCATAGAAACAAAGTCCTTCAGCCGAAAACATAAACGTTTAATTATATTTCTGTAAATATGGCCACCACAAAGAGGATAGGCAATTTGAGGTGGCGTGCTTGGATTGACTCGGGATTCCTTAGAACGGGCCGATACGGGTATTTTAGTTCGAGATTTGTATAATTTCGCATTTTAATCTTCGATTAAGGCACAATAGCACTATCCTATTCCACTTTAAACTAGATTTCACAAAATAATTGAAAGTCAAAATAAAAACGACACTTTTCCCTCCAAAAGTCCCAAAGCGAATCCCTGCAACTGACAAGTGACCCAGTGTTACAATTTATCAGCCGCAAGTGTCAGCTGTAAGCTTTATTTACGTGCCCAATTGTCTATTATTATAGCGCATAAGTGTATATTATTATGGTTTGTGTAATTATTTTAACATTATTTAGATATTTATTGTCTACAAATAATTAGATTTTTATTTCAGCAGCACTGTCTGTTGACAAGTGGTTGACAGAATTATTATTATATTGATTAAATGAAACCTGTAGTTTTCAGTCGGGTGAGAGCCTGGAGTTCTGTCACACAGGTTAATTCCTAGTATAGACTCCAGCCTCTTACAAAGGTATCTTAATTAGATTCTTTTATTAAGTCTAAATTCATTATGATGTGTATAAATAAGGATCACCTTTGTAAGAAGAAATAAATAAATAAATAAACAGAAGGGCTTTATGCCTTTTAATTTTGAATTAGGAATACTACATTTTAGTGACCAGGAATCTGTAATCGTGACACTAAGTTCTAGGTTTAGAGCGTGTTGTATGCTCTAAGGCATCAAGTATTAATCGAAATAAACCTGTTTTATTCATTCAAAAGCTATAACGGTTCAAAAAGACCGACTAGCTACGTCTTGATTCTATCGAACCCTTGGCCGGGAAAAATAAACGTAAATTGCTCCTCGTCACAGTGTTACACAAACTACTATGGTGTGTTATTTTACCTTAGTTGCGGACATCCTCGTTTTATGTGTTTTTAGGAAGATAATATTAAAAAAAAAAAGTTCGTAATAAAATTCTCCACGCTGTATCTATCATAGTTTTAGAGAAACTTAGAAAATCGAGAAAAATCCATAAAAACCATAAAATCAGATTATTTCCTTTCCTGTAAATGATTTTTCTTTAAATATTTCATGTTATGATAGAAAACTACTAAAATAAAAAATAAAAAAAATATCAAGTTTTCCTAGACCACAATTAATTTTTTTCTATGATTTCGTTATTTTTTTTCTGAAGAATTTTTACATATTAGCATTTTTTTCAACGCGGATATGTTAATTATAGTACTAAGTACTACCACAAATAAAACCAGATGCGACAAACAGGGGAGTTCAGAAATATTGAATTTTTAAATTTTGTGTTAGGGTAGTTTTTAAATTTTGTGCCTTCGAGAGGACTGGTGAAGCAACGGAAGTGCCCTCCAATTCTAAAGTGGCACAATATATTACAGAGGCCATTTTTCGGACATGATGACTGTCATTTCAAAGGACAATTACTGAATACACTTCCACCAAGGGCATTCAATCTCATTACATTCCTGCTTACAGTCCTCCCTCACCAAGGTGAATAATGGGAGGCTGCAGTAAAATCATTCAAGTTTCATCTTAGAAGAGTCTTAGGTGCTAAATTATTTACATTCGAACAATTAGTTACATTGACTATTGAAATTGAAGCGATTTTAAATTCGCACCCTATTTGTCCGTTGACAAATGATCCATCAGATTTCAGAGTTTTGACGCCGGCACATTTTCTAATAGGTTGTCCATTAACTTCATTTCCACACCTATCTTTATTGAATGTTCCTAATAACCACTTAAAATTTTGGAGGTCCATTGAACAATTCAGGCAGCATTTTTGGCAGGCGTGGTCAAACGATTATCTAGTCTCCTTGAATAAAAGGACAAAATGGTAAAATAATCAGCCAAATATACATGAAGGTGATTTGGTTTTATTAAAGGATGATATGGTTCATCCACAATTCTGGCCATTAGGTCGTATAGTAAGTCTTTCCAGGCAAGGACTCTAAAGTTAGAGTTGTTGAAGTAATGACATCTGATAAGAAATTGCATTCCAGGGCCTTTTCTAAAGTAGCAAAAAAATAATACAAAATTATATTGGCAATACAAATTGCCAGTATAATTTTGTATTATACTGTGACTACTACTTGTTCTGAATACTAGAGAAATACTTATTCTAATATTTGTAGTTATATATTTTGTTTAAATGTATTTTAAATATTTTAGTATTTAAGTTATGATTGAAGTGTCAACAGGTCGTTTATTTTAATTTCATGCGCGGGCGCAATTGTGTCAACGACATACAATTTCTTTTTTTGTTAAATATTTCTTTACTCCTTTGTAATTTATTTTTTGTTTCTTTTGTTTAATCACAATTGTTTTTCTTTTTTTCATGTCATTTTTTACATTTTCAGTACATTTTATAATTACAATGAATTTTTTTATTTACAATTCAATATAGATCCTGCAGTAATATAACGCGGATTCTTACAATGAGACAAAACTTGTAGGTTTGATCTGATTTAAAACAGTAGAGTTCAACTTGCAAATGGCCGTGATTTGTGGTGTTTTTAAATTAATATGAATAAGGAAATTAGGCAAATAAAATTAATGAATGTTTCGTCGAAACAATCGACGAAACATTCGTGTCGAGTGCCTGAAACGCGTTTTCACATTCGTGCGAGTGGTTATGCGATACTTGACACCCATGTGTAAACGGTCAGATTCGCGTCGCGACTCGTATCGCCACTTGTGCGATCGCGTCATGAACGGTTTTTCGAGCACGAGTCAAAAGACATGAG